GAGGTGTTTCCCATGGGTCTTATATTTGATGGAAAGGACATGACATGAGCAGAGTGTGCATGTGAGGAGCCTGTGCTGGAGCTGCTTAGTCCGTCCTTCGGGGGTGTGTGAGGGGGCATAAAGCGAGGTGTTTCCCGTCTATTTGATGGAAGACTGACATGAGCAGAGTGTGCATGTGAGGGAGGCCGTGTGGAGGCTGCTTAGTCCATCCTTCGTGAGTGTGTGAGGGGTAAATCGCGAGGTGTTTTCCCCGGTCTATTGATGGAAGAGCTGACATGAGCCAGAGTTTGCCATGGTGAGGGAGCCGTGCTGGAGGCTGCTCTAGTCCGTCCCCTCTCGGGGGTGTGTCGGAGGGGCAGTAAATCCGGAGGTGTTTTCCCCCGGTCTATTTGATGGAAGACTGACATGAGCAGAGTGTGCATGTGAGGGACCGCTGCTGGAGGCTGCTTAGTCGTCCTATCGGGGTGTGTGAGGGGCTAAATCGAGGTTTTTCCCCGGTCTCAGTTGATGGAAGACCTTGAGCATGAGCATAGTGTGCATGGCTTTCTGAACTAATTCCACCCCGCTTAGCATGCTATTTAGGGTATAAATAAAGCAAATCGTACCTTGTCACCATGCATGTAGCTGCATTTAAAAAAAGACGTTACAGCACCGGGGTATTCCCAGGCGGTGTCCATTTTTCCAGCACTACCCGGACCCGACCTGTATTTACTATGGGTCTTTGAAACAATCTGACTTTTACACAGCACTGTAGCAGGGCTTTAATCCGATTTTCAGCACTCTTTCCCCGCAGGAAATAGTTAAATTCACCGTGGGTCACCATGTTGGGATTTAGGATGTACCTGTGTGTGGTGCGGAGCTCCTGCACTTAAATCATTGATTGCCCTGTTTTTGTTGTATTTTTTACTTATTAATGCACTGATGTCCCTGGGATGATGCGCCCCTTCCTGTGGGGACACATGAGAATGCACTCAAATCACTTTGTGCTTTTAACAGTTTAAAATTATTTTGTTTTCGACATTTAAAAACCGCTTTCTGCCCTAGGAAATCATTTCTAATCATTATGCCGTTCATGGATGGCTGCAGGACACTTCCCCGCCTTGCAGACAGTTATTCACTGGGGTTAAATAATCCAATTGTCCGCCTGCTTTCCGTCAGACACCCGCGGCTGTTCGGATTAAAAACAGATGAATGACTTTAACCGACTCATGTACACCGTTCAAATGGTTCCCCTAACACCAGTGCACACAGTCTGGAGCTCGTCACTGGGGTCCAGCACAGGCTCCAGGCCGGCGTTTTAACGAAACGGACGGATTTCCGTGGCATTCAAATGTAACGAAACCCAGACCTTCCGTGACATCAGTGGCTGTCGGGATTAAACAGTTAATGCCTCAGCCTACCCACAATCAGCGTCATTGCCTGGGTAAAAGTGTGATGTGAAGCAGCCTGTACCTCTGTTTAATTAAACCAGTTTGAATGCACCTTAGCACTCAGCCTACCGTCACAAAATCCGCTCATTTCCTGGGGTGACAAGTGAGATTGTTAGCGGCTGCTGTCGGATTAAAAACGTTAATGCACTTTTAACACTCATTTACCACACGGTTCATATCGTTCCCTAACACATGCACACGTCTGGAGCTTCACTGGGGCCCTGCACAGGCTCCAGTCCGGCGTTTTAACGAAACGGACGGCGAATTACGCCCATTGGCATTCAAAATGTTAACGAAACGGGCCAGACTTCCGTGCGCATCAGCGGCTGTCGGATTAAAAATCCTTAATGCGCTTTTACACTCACGCAGCCAGAATTCCTGCTCCTTTCCTGGGTTAACGAAAAGTGAGGTGACTGCAGCCTGTCCTCTGAGTCTCCCGCCTCTCACAGACTTATTCTGGGTAAAAAAGCCATGTGCTCCGCCCCTGGATCTCTGCATGTGTGTGTGCCTGTGAGTCTCTGGCTACTGTCCACATTCCCGCATTATTGAGGCACTATTTTCGGATACAATTTCTCATTTTCCCACTTTTCATGTTTTTATTATGTATATTGTTATATTCTTATTGTATATATGTATACTGTTTATACTGTTTTGTAAAATCATGTGATTATTTAAATAAATAATAGGAACATGAATATAACCTGAAGGTTCCCAGAGGGCAAATACAGTGCCAGGCTGTCAGGACTATTTAAACAATGTTTACCCCAGGATTCAGACACCTTTCCCTGGCCTTGTTAAAATGCGGTGCGCCCTGGAGGCTATCAGACTATTTTAAACAATTTTCCCTGCCTTTCAAACAGTATCCCTGGGTGTTTTTATGCCTGTCATTTTGCAGGATTCATTTAACATTACCCTCTAGACTGAAAATGAACATTTCTGGCTTTCCGGGAGAGGTTACATGTTAAATTCTTATCCTGCAAAATGGACACGGCTAAAAGGCTCTTCCACACGTAATAACACTTTCTGATAAACAACTTCTCCCGTTCTTCTAATACTTGTTCCTGGGTTATTGCCTGTTCATTTTGCAGGAGGTTAACATGGATCTTCTCCTGGAGAAATGGACATGATTCTGTGCATTTCCAGGAGAATGTTCAATTTATAGTTATGTGCAAGTTTATGAGAACAGGCTTTACTTTATACCTTCTCTTGTACGTTAAAATCTTATTTTTTCCGACTTATTTTAAACTACTTTTCTTCGGCCTTTCAAACACTGTGTTCCTGGGTATAGCCGTCTGCATGTTATTTTATCATTTAACATGGAAGTCTCCTCTTGGAAAATGGACATATTCTGTGCATTTCCAGGAGTATGTTCAATGTTAAATGATATCGTGCATTAAATGACAGGCTATTACTCTTCTTCTTCCTAGACTGTTTAAATAACTACTCCCCTACCCATTAAACATTATTTCTGGCTGTAAAGTGCTGGCGGTGATGAGCCCTGGTAGTATCAGACTATTAAAGGTTACCAGGAGCCATGAGAATATCCTCCACAGAAGGGGTCGGTGGGTGCCGTGAATAAGGCCGAATATGGATGCCGATGGCGGACGTAAAGCGGGCGGGCACCGCAAATCCACCCCCTTTTAGGGTTACCAGGGGGCGATGAGGTTCTCCAGGGTGTGACATTCTGGTTTTAGGTTCGTGGGGGAGTGCTTAACGTCCGGGAGTCGGGGGGACTCCACGGTGTGCAAGGTTCATGGAGGTGCCCATGCAGGGACACATGCTGGAGGTCTGTGGTCCTCCTTTGGGGGTCTTGTGAGGGGCCACAGAGGGTTGATCTTTCCCGGATCTCCTGACCTGGATGTGTGAAAATTAACCTTGAGTTCCCACGATTTCAGGGACACATGCTGGAGGTCTCTCTCCGAGACGGTGGGACGTCCATTGCCTGTAAATAGGACTAACATTAGGTCTGTCACTTTGGCTAACCGCACCACTTCGGTCGTCTTCCCGAGAAGTGGACGTCCATTGCCTGTAAATAGGCTAACATTAGGTCTGTGTCACTTTGGCTAACCGCACCACTGCGGCGTCTCCCGAGAGTGGACGTTCATTGCCTGTAAAAAGTCTAACATTAGGTCTGTCACTTTGGCTAATGCGCACCACTGTCGGTCGATCTCCCGAGAGTGGACATCCATTGCCCCTAAATAGGGTCTTTCACTTTGGCTAGACCGACCACTGTCGGTCGATCTCCCGAGAGGTTGGACATCCATTTGCCCCTAAACTAGGGACACGCGTGCTGCGGGACAATGAAAACAGTCTGAGAAGCAGCTTCACATTAAAGCTGAATCTCTGTACTCCCAAAGCGAGAGCTGTGTCCGGGTCCTCGGCAGTAAGTCGGACCCATTTCAGGTGAGGGTTGGCCTCCGCCAGGGCTGCGCTTTGTCACCAATCCTGTTTGTAATATACATGGATCGGATTTCGAGGCGTAGTCGTGGAGGAGGTGGTCTGCAGTTCGGTGGACTAAGGATTGCACCACTGCTTTTTGCAGATGATGTGGTTCTGATGGCTTCATCGGTCTGCGACCTTCAGCACTCACTGGATCGGTTCGCAACCGAGTGTGAAGCGGCTGGGATGAGGATCAGCACCTCCAAATCTGAGGCCATGGTTCTCAGCAGGAAACCGATGGACTGTCCACTCCAAGTAGGGAATGAGTCCTTACCCCAAGTGAAGGAGTTCAAGTATCTCGGGGTCTTGTTCTCGAGTGAGGGAACAATAGATCGTGAGGTGGGCCGAAGAATCGGAGCAGCGGGAGCGGTACTGCAGTCGCTTTACCGCACCGTTGTGACGAAAAGGGAGCTGAGCCAGAAGGCAAAGCTCTCTGTCTACCGCGCCATTTTCGTTCCTACCCTCACCTATGGTCATGAAGGATGGGTCATGACCGAAAGAACGAGATCGCGGGTACAAGCGGCCGAGATGGGTTTTCTCCGCAGGGTGGCTGGTGTCTCCCTTAGGGATAAGGTGAGAAGTTCGGTCATCCGGGAGGGACTCGGAGTTGAACCGCTCCTCCTTCGCGTCGAAAGGAGCCAGTTGAGGTGGTTCGGGCACCTAGTTAGGATGCCACCTGGGCGCCTCCGTAGGGAGGTGTTCCAGGCACGTCCAGCTGGGAAGAGACCAAGGGGTAGACCTAGGACCAGGTGGAGGGATTATATCTCTTCGCTGGCCTGGGAGCCCCTTGGGATCCCCCAGTCAGAGCTGGTTGATGTGGCCAGGGAAAAGAAAGTTTGGGGCTCTCTGCTGGAACTGCTACCCCCGCGACCCGACCACGGATAAGCGGGAGAAGATGGATCGATGGATGGAGCTATCCAATGTTGCAGAACTCCTACACTATTATGTGAAGATTATTCATCAAATAATAAGCATTATGTTTGTTCACTTAAAGATATTTTAGATTGTTAAGAATTTAATTAATTACTTAATTAATTTAAATGTAAGCTGTATATATATTTTAATATTGTCCAACATATTGTAACACCAGCGTACCAGCAGTGTGAAATATGTATTCATGTATTCTCTCACCCGGTGGCTTTGGATGCCAAAGCAGAGCTCCTGGAGAGCCGGGCGTTGACCTCGATGATGCAGTACTCCAGAGAGGAGGGGTGGAGGGCGTACTGGATGTTGCACTCGCCGATAATACCAAGGTGACGGACGACTTTAATGGCCGTTTCACGGAGCATGTGGTACTCCTCGTTGGATAGTGTCTGGCTCGGTGCCACTACTATGGAGTCACCTGAAGAAGAAGAAGAAGAAGAAGACACATTTATCCTCAAGTAGCCTCCGAAGACAGAGTGCTTTTTTTGGACAACAGAATAGCAAACAGAACACGATCAAACACAGCAAAAGTGAGAACAGAATACTGCAACTAATTCTACAACACAGAGCACAATACTCTGAACACGAACACATCAGTATGTAGTGAAGGTTTTAGCACCTGTGTGGATGCCCAGCGGGTCGAAGTTCTCCATGTTGCAGACGGTGACGCAGTTATCAGCCACGTCTCTCACCACCTCATACTCCACCTCCTTCCAGCCCCTCAGAGACTTCTCCACCAGGATCTGACTGCTCATGGCCAGAGCCTACAGCACAATACGCACAGATTATAATCAGATAAAATTATGTGTGCCAACTTTACAAAGCTGGTGAAGAGATTTACATATTGTGAGATACTTTTTGAATGTTCTCAAACACAACACAATTCATATTGGTTTTACAAATAGAATAACATTAAAAACAGACATTATTTAGTGGAAATAATTAAGAATAATAATCAACCTGCACTTTTTGATTTAATGGTTTAACATACCAGTGCAATTTGTTTGCACTTAATTTATTTTTCAGTGAAGGACACCGTGTGTGGCATAACAGCTCCATGGACCTTAATACAAACCAGACATCAAAGGAAGGGAGAACATTTTCATAGAAGCACAGTCAAACAGATGGCTGTGTATGTAAAAACAACCAACAGACCAATAACTTAACAATATGATGCATTTATGCATGAATTACAGCCTCCATCATTAGCATCTTTCTCGTCAAACCCTAAAACCTCAACGTTACATAGACTGTGTTTTTAATTAGTTAAGGATTCAAATCATTCAAATATATTTGCAACCAAATGTGATACCCTGCATAAAGGCCATGTGCCAGTGGGTAGATACTCTTTTGATAACACTGAGAACATAGGGTTAGAGGAATAAGTGTTTACCTTGGGTTTTCATTTTTTATCTTTGTCAAATATTGGACCTTGTGAATTATATATTTGCTCTGCACTTGATACCAAACTGTGGAACATCCGCTGAGCATAACCAGCAAAGACTCACATTGAAACATCCAAATGAAACAAAAAATGAACTATTTTGAATGCAAGACGAGAAAAAGAGCAAATCATCAGCACTTACTGGACGGCTTAGAAGAATATGCAACATTTGAAAGCAGTCTGTCACACACCGTTCATTTGGCAGCCTGTGATCACAGATTATAACTGCCGTCAGACACAGTGTGGTGCTGGACGAGCCTAAAAGAATGTTGCTAAGCAACTGCAAACTATTCCCTTCCTGGCAGAGCACCAAAAAGACATAACTAAGCTATTTCAAAGCTTCTATCATTGTACAAGTGAATGCTTCAAACATGGATGAAGTTATAACACTTTATAACGTTTAGGTAGAATGCTTCATTGCTGATTTGATCTGCATGATAAAAGAAAGCATAACAAAGAATAACAAACATAATTTGGTACAGATGCTTCCACCGTCCCTACCCTGCGGCATTTATTCTGACCTTGTTGGCAGTTTCCTCAAGCATCTCTTTGTTGGCACACAGACCAGAGCCCAGACCCCCAAGGGCATAGGCCGATCGCAGCATCACCGGGTAGCCAATCTTCTCTGCTGCTTTCAACGCTTCAGACACCTGAAAGATGCACACAAACACTTGAAAACTAAATATGTATATATCCTTTGTCTCAAAGTTCACAGAAAGAAGATGATACTTACCGACTCCACAGCGAAACTGGGGGCAATCTTTTCATTAATCTCCTTCAGTTTGTCTGAGAAAAGCTGCCTGTCCTCTGTGGCCATGATGGACTCAACCGGGGTTCCTAGGACCTTCACACCGTACTTCTTCAGGACACCACTCTGGAATAATTCAACTCCTGAACACAAACACACAGGCAACCAAGACAAATAAATCAGTGGTCGTTGGAAAGATTCCCACAAAACCATGCATATGGCAGTTTCTATATGCTATCCCAACAACAGACGTGCACATATCCTTGGTGAGAGTTATATTTCTGACCCTGTAAGTGCCTTGCAAAGTAGGAATGTAAACCCTATCCCTGACAGTCACTATGTCCCACTACTTGAATCCCCACAGGGAAACAGGACCACAGATCAGCAATCCGATACATTGACACAAACAGCTGCACACATCTCACCACAGTTGAGTGCAGTCTGCCCCCCCATGGAGAGCAGGATGCCGTCTGGACGCTCGGCCTTGATGACTTCAGTTACAAACTGTGGCGTGACGGGCAGGAAGTAGACTGAGTCGGCCTGCTTGATGCCCACTTCGTTGGTCTGGACCGAGGCTATGTTTGGGTTCATGAGCACCGTCTTCAGGTTTTCCTCCTGCAACGACATTGTCACGTTTATAACATTCATGACTTGAATTGCCTATGGAATGTTTGCCAATTTGATAAGCAGGGAAATACACATCATTTTTGTCTTTTAATAATGATAACAAATGTATTTATACAGCGCTTTTCTTTACGATGTAAGTGTTTCACAAAAGGAATGCAACCAGAGAAGGGTCACTAAATAAGAATAAGGTCAATAACATGAGCACAGAGGAAATTAAAGACAATAAACTATTTTAGAAGCGGTCTTAGCGTAGGTCTCCGTGTACACTTCCAGTTTTTAATGTGCAACTGTGGTTTTACAGCCAGGTCTTTGGGTTGTAATACAACTTTTTGACCTTTTAACTAGTCAGTATGAAGAAGCCTCAGGCGTTACTGATAACATTAACAATGACTGTTCTGAGCCCACCTGCCCAATATCAGGACATTAGAACTGAAGCAGCAGAGAATAATTCAGCCTCCCTGATATTATTGTTAAAAATGTGTGCTTTTCGTACTTTGACTTGTCAAAATGGCCAATTAATTCTACAAGGACTGGAAAGGGACACTTTCTTAAGTTTTGTAAACGTCTACAAATGTTCAGTCTTGGCTCAGCAGACAAACTCATCCCTCTGCGTCACATGAATGCACTAACCCCTTTTATTTTCACATATAGCTTTATTTTGAAATGCTTATACATGTTTTACCCAGTAATTGCCTCAGAGAGCTGTGAACTGTCATTTGAAGCAAATGTTTTGTAAACAGTCAATAATATAATGTATATGTTTAGCCACAGCTTAGCCCAACACTTCTCTCTTACCTTCATGGCCTTGATGGCCTGAGACCCAGAGTAGTCAAACTCTCCAGCCTGACCGATAGACAGACCACCGGAGCCCAGTATCAGCACCTTTGACACCTGCAAGTAAACAAACATGAAGAGTCATTATCAAAATATAATCCAGGCATTCAGGTTCCTGGGTGGATCCTTCTAAGGTCATATCATAACCTTTTTTCTGTATCTAAAGCAGATACAGATTCCTATTTGTTATTTGTTATTCTTGTCTTTATAACCGTTCTAACTATTTGACTCATTCACTAATTACCTTAAAACAACAGCTAAAAGAACATGCTGTTCCTAATCCCTGTACGTGCATAACCATGATATACCTGTTGGACATACTTTACCTTAGCTCTGGGCGGTATGTAAGGTTTCGCAGGCATGACAGACATTACAGTGGCATCTTTTCCTTTCTTGATCAGGGAGATGAAGGAATCAAAGAGGAACTGTAGAAACAAGAAATAATGGCAATATAACCAGTTTTCTAAATTTGTAATTCACTTTTTGTAAGTCTAATTAATACTACTATTGACTATGACTCATTTTAAGAATGTTATTATAGTGCGTGTAGTCATCATGAAGCATTTTAATTCATAATGAATGCTTCAATAACCCCCCTGAGATGTGGTCTTCATATGAATTGTTACCCAGGATTCTCCAGCAGAGCTTCAGCTGCATGTTGGTAGAGAGGACAGGTCTCATTATCCTGCCCTGACATGACAGAGGTTACAACATGCTTGGCCCAGGATTCAACTACAGCCCCCCCCTGTCATGTTGTAGAAAAGGAGTGTAGAGCCACCCACGCCTCACTGTGGAGAAAGGGATTGGCACCTGTGGCTCTGGGGCAGTTGAACATCAATCACCAAAGATGATTACACCTTTCATTGCCGGTGATGTAGGAACTGCACATTTATTATATATGATTGATTAAGCATTTTGTCCCGTTAATATACCATGCATACAAACAAATGATTTTCACCAGCCACCTGATAGCTGCTTTTGACAATCACACAATTCCTGTTTCAATGGAAGATGTCAACTTATACTTGAGAAGCAGCCAGATAAGAAACATTTTGTATAACAGGAACTTTATGAATAACTATCAAAGTCTTTATTTACCTCTGTGTCGGTGGGACCGCCTTTTGCCTCGGGATGAAACTGGGCCGTGAAAACAGGCTTAGTGTTGTGCATAATGCCCTGGAAAATATTTGATATAAGAGAAAATTAGCAAAAAAGTATGCATTTAATACAGAGGGATTCAAGTTTATTTTTGGTAAAATTGTGTTATTTTTATAACTTCAGGTGTGATTGTCGCTTGACATTTTGGTATTATAGAGAAATGGGTGTTTTTATATACAAATCCTTTAGAAAGAAAATGTCAAAGTGCCATGTTGTTTATCACAGAGGGGAATCTACCTCATTGGTGCCATCATTGGCGTTGACAAAAAGCGGGCTCCACCCTGGGGGCAGCGAGTGGCTGTCTATGCCGTAGCCGTGGTTCTGCGCCGTGATGAAGGCCTGACCCGTCCTCACATTCAGCACCGGCTGGTTCTGGCCTCTGGGAGAACGCAGACAAGCAGAAAACACAATATTTTATTTCTGTTTATATGCAAGTGAGACGACACACAGTCATACCAATGATGTCACACTATTCAACTGATCAACTGGTGGAAGGAACACCAATGTATGATGCTCTGCCGGTTTTCAAATGCTTCCACTTTGCAGATGTTATAAGAGGAGCGTGTATTAGATACATTTGTTAAGCTTAATATGGAAACACCCAATATGATTTGGCCATATGTAAAATTATCTTTTGTTTGTTTGAGGATTATCTAAGTGAGTGTACACTTTGCCTTAATTATGCTTATGCATTGCAAGTTTTACCTGTTGCCCATTGGAAGCTTGTATGACTGAGCTCCGGCAGCCAGAGCTGTGATCTGGTTGCCCATACAGATCCCGAACACTGGCTGTGGACGATCGCTCTCCAGCACCTGCACAGCGCAAAAGAACATTCAAATTACATTTATTGAAAATGCAGATCATGATATATATATTTAATCTACAGTATGTGATGAAAATAATCTTGAGAGAGAATTAAGTTCCCCTAATTATATGACTCTAAACTTGAATTACCGTAAATTAAAATAGGGAAAATAATGTAAAAAATGGACTAGTTAAAATCTCCATACATCCACTAAATATGACAAATACTTGACAAAGTCTAAAAGACTATGTTACAATTAGAATGTCATTTTACAAACAATTTCCAGCCTCCTTAAAGCCTCTTTTTAATTGACAAAGAAGTGAAACTGTAAATAGCAACACTTTGTGGGCAATCTTCGAATAAAACTCAAATCATTTAAATATTAAAAGAGCATTATGTTGTACCTTGCGGACGTTGTTAATGAGTGTGTTGGCCAGCGACGGATTTCCTGGTCCATTGGAGATGAAAAGCCCGTCGTAGTCCAGACTCATCAAGTCCTGATCCCACGGGACGAGGTGGACCTCTGCACCCCTCTGCACACACAGACATACAGAACATACACTCTGTGATATAAAGGCATGATATTGTACTGTAAGTTCACCCTAAATAACTTTATAGTTGTATACTAATTTGGCACCAGCTGAGAATTCCTGCCTCGGGTTGTGAACAGTTTGTCAGATCTAACATTACCATCTCATATTTTCTAGGTCAGTTCAGGTTGAAAATGTGACACGTCTTGACTTGTTTTTTATATTTATGCAGACAGGGTCATTTGGGGCAACGTCATAAAAACGTCATCTCCAAGTCTGTAAACTAAGAAGGATGCACACTCAACAAGAAAAGTGATTTATTTTTTACACCGCTTTTTTTTCTCTTACCTTGACCAACAGGCGAATGATGTTATGTTTAATACCGCAATCAACCGCCACCACTTTAATTGGGTTTCCTTTTCCAAAGATCTTTGTTTCCTAGTGGGTAAAAAGACACCGGAAAGAAAAGTTATCACTAATCAGCAGCAATTGTCCACAGAGAGAACATGATCTGAGTGGTCATATTTTACGCGGCATATTGTGCAATGGGAAGAAAAGGTGTTTTGGGATGTTTTTTGTTATAGCAGCTGTTACCTTGGTTGAGACCTCTGCTACCAGGTTCCTCTGGTTGGGGTTAGATATCTCCACAGGCTGCCCATCAAATTCTATTTTCGCCAAAGCTGTGCCCTGAGGAGAAATCACAAGCACAATACCAGTTCATCAAACAACTGCTTCATCAATTGTAAAAGCAGTTCACACCTTGACATTTACAGTACCTTATCTCTGATTATCTTGGTCAGCATTCGGGTGTCTATTCCAAACAGTGCAGGGACCTTCAACGGGAGGAAAGTCACATTTTAAAATGTACCAGCAGCAGACTTGCCTCTCTGAGATTACATCGGAAACTTTGAATCCATACCTTCTCTTCTTGCAGCCATTGTGCCAAAGACTTGACAGAGTTCCAGTGGCTGTACTCGTAACTGTAGTCTTGAACAAGAAGACCAGATACCTAGAAACGCCAAAGCACAACCTTAAAAAAAAGGTCAAACTAAAAAGCCGCTGTCGATAATTGCTTAATATCACTTCTAGGTTTTGTGTAATACTGCAGCTCTTGCAGGTGAATGGTGTCAAGAATACTTCGAGCATGGTTCATGTTGTCTTTCATTTATTAAACAGTAAAATACTGCACTGTTGTTGTGCTGTTATGTGTAGAAATGCCACTAACTATTATGTGATGCATTTTTTTGGCTATAACATGTCAGAATATAGTTAAAAAGGCCAGTCAGATCAAATACATTTCCGATTCCGATAGCCTACCCCAAAACTTACAAGGTTTAATATTATAGGAGGCTCAAATCAAATTTATATTCTACTATTACTCTCAACATACATCCATATGGCTGGGAGGGGTAGTGTACATTATGACCAATTTAATTCCCGAACAAAAACTATAAGGCAAATAATAGAGTAAATAAATGCATGCTGAAGGACATGGGAGTCAGTGATATGTTTTGTTTTTTAATATTGGCTTGAATTGATATCAATAATCGTGGGATGCCGTTGTTATCGGTATCATCTACGACATGTTTGGCATCATGACATACCTACTTCAGACAATATAAGAAGATTTGTTTTAGAAGAAACCCAGAATAAAAGGGTGAACCTGAAAATGCACAATATGTCACCAAATTAATTATGATTCACCCTTAGGGGGAAATGAATGTCTGCACCAGATTTATTGGGAATCCAGCTAATAGTTGTTGAGGAATGTAGTGTCAACCCAGCGATGAAGTTTAAAAAAAAAAGAAAAAAGGAACAAATATCACAAAGGTCGTTGGGAGTATGATGGATGTGGTTATAAATGGCAATAGCAATTCATGTTAAAATTTCAATCTGGACCAAGGTGGAGCACTCTCCAACAGACTGACAGGATCAAAGCAGGAGTTGGTAATTGCAGCACCGAGGCCTCCACCAATCCTGACACCCCCAAACCCCCACTGAGTTTCATACCTGGATGCGCTCTGACTCCAAATGTTTCCTCAGGCCAAGCTCATCCAGTTCCTGGCTGTTGGGTACCCCATAGTTTCCCACTATAGGGTAGGTGAGGGTCAGGATCTGACCTCTGTAGCTGGGGTCAGTCAGGGCCTCAGGATACCTAAAGAAAGGATACGATATTGTGATGATAACGCACATCGTCATATTATCGTCTCATTATCCTCTATAAAGTGAAAAAATGCAGTGTAACTTCATCGTGTAAAGAAATTTGAGGAAAATGTAACAACTGGATGCAAAGTTGTGAAGCTCAAAGCCAGGTTCATATTTTAGTATTTACCATCGGATTTATTTTGTTGATTTAAAACAGATCTTTCTTGAATCTAATGTAGATCGACTTATGTCAGCATATCTCCTTCTTACCCCACTAGGCCAGTATTGAAGACGAGTTCCCCGGCTACAGAGGTATCATGCCCAAAGGAAAATCCTTTCATCCTGGTGCCATCCTCCAAGACCAGGTGGGCTGTCTGGGCCTGGGATTTAAAAGAGAGCAGGCAGATGGCAAGATAAATCTCCCCCAAGAATAATGCATTCCCTTTATATGAAGAGTTTGGAGAGACCAAAGGCAAAAGTTTGAAATAGATGTGTTGTAGGCTTATGAATTAAGTAGTGGTGGCTGGATGAAGTGAGACTCATGCTGAAACTGCAGGACAATGTGAATTGTGCTGTGAATGCTGAGACAGACAAATCTGTTCTCTCTCTGTGTGTGTGTGTGTGTGTGTGTGTGTGTGTGTGTGTGTGTGTGTGTGTGTGTGTGTGTGTGTGTGTGTGTGTGTGTGTGTGTGTGTGTGTGTTCATGCATGTCCCGATATGACCTCGAGGTAGGCACCGTCTCTTATAGTATTACTAAAGACTCCTATTTCCAAAAGCACCATAGATGTATAATTTGCCTTGTTCAGTCATATTGTGTGGTAGTTGCAATCAGGGTGCACCTCCAAACTGATGCAACACACATGATGCATTCCAGCAGCTACAGCATGATACACATTATCTGAGAAAAACAAATCTGGAAATCCGGTTAGATAATAATGAAGACTATTATGTTTTTGTGGTTTACTATTTACTTTTTGTGAGTTAATACTTTAAGTGTGTCGCCGCACCAAACTGCATTCAAAATAGGGCAATTTACTGTAGTATTTGTCAACTGCACTAGCACATACTTCAGGCAAGTATTTCACTTGTGTATTTTATTAACATGAACCCACCTGTGGATTCGGCGTATTGACCGTCCACTGGAAACAATTTATTTAACACAGTTCATACTTGTTCAACTATTTACTGCAGCTGTCGCTCAGAAAGCTTCGTTTCTAAATGCAAGAGCACTATGATGAATGGAGCTGGTTAACTATACCAAGTTAAAATAATGTCAAAAGAAATGCTTTCTCTTCTGTTGAAGGTATGACGAAAATAGAAGTAGCCCTTGATTTAAAAAGAAAAATGTGTAACAAGTTCTTACATGTTTTAAAAATGTATTTTTTAACGCCAATGAATCACAAACAATAAATGTGTCAGCGGAATGTGGCCTGAAGCCCAGAGGAACACCGTGTCCGCACCACATTGAAGGCACTTCAAAAGTTAGTATCGTGCATTTACTGTACAACTGACAACAACCACTTTAACTCACACGTAGTCTTACCTTCATACTAAAAAGTTTAGCTGTTTGAAGTCTCAGCCATCCCGAAGTGTTTCCCACTCTTCTGCCAACAATGCATCCTTGTCTCAGAGATTTAACAACGCTATGAGCTAACAGGATAGTTGTCATGTTAGCCTACGTTACTCTTTAGGCAAAGTGGCACGGTCGTGAATGAAAAGTTTTCCGATATAAAAATGACTTACTATTTAAACTGTCTAACAACGTCTACAATGAATTGTAAATTGACTCTAGGAGACACTAGCTCAATGGGATTTGGATTTTCCTCGTGTAGGTTCAACTGCAAGCTTGAAGTTTATCATGATTGGTTGATGAACAGTTGTTTTTCTCACCGCTTGAAGCGCTCAGCGTTTAGATTGGTCTTCAGGAAAACGCCCTACTTTCTCTCAAACATGGATGAACCCAGCATTCACATCTGTTGAAATTCCGAAACACACTGATAGTAGGATCATGGATGTATGCTACAAGGCTAATAAGTTCAACTTTTTCTGGTTGGCCAACATTTTAACATCTGAAATATTTAAAGACACGTTTTAACTGCATTAGTTAACAAATATCTGGTTCAAGTTATTTTTGCATTTAGCTTGAGCACCACTATATGGCTAGCTAAAATTTCAAATAGCCTTTCTGACAAATATGTTTAATTCACATTAATTTTAAACTGCTGTATATTATTATGTTTTTACAGTGATTTCATAAAAGAAAAACTACTTCTAAAAGGCCTACACAAGGGGACATATTGATTACATTTGGTTCATTTCAGGTCATTGAAAAGGAACCACAAAAATTGCAAGCTGAATGAGAATGAATGCACCTGCTAACAAAAAGTTGTGTGTATGTGAGGCTCTATCTGTCACAATCATAGACTGTATATAAATGGACGTAGTGTCCGTGACGTCACCCAAAGGATTCTGCAGAGTTGCCGAGAAACCCTTAGTAGGCGGAGTCGGCCACTAACGGCTTGACAGCGACGTCAGAGTCTAATCCCGCCTGCTCCAAATAAGGGCAAAGAGGCGGAGCCAAGGCGGGACCTGCTGCCTCCGAACTGGAAGTAAACAGAGCTAGCTCAAGCTAAGAAGCTAAGCTAACATGAAATACATGCATACCAAGTTACTGCTAACAGGTATGCATGTATTTCATGTTAGTGTAGTTCCCCTATATAAACGTTACATTCATAATCAAATGAGACAATCTGCAAGAGAATTAGCTATATTTTGTTATTCTTAATGCTTGTCATTCACACGTTAAGAAAAGACGGACTCCACCGCCCGGACCTAACGGAGCCCCAGTGGGCTAGCTCCGGGACGCCGGCTGGAGCTAGCCCCCTGCGGCTCCGTTAGCTCCGGCGGCCACCACTGGGATAATTGGGTCCCCTATTAACATTTGCTCCCGTTTTGGATTATGGGCGTCATAGCCATAGACTATAAAAGTATTACCCAAGGCTGAATCATAAACTAAAATGTATATGTATTCAGACCCGGCATCATGGGCGGGCCCCATGGGGCCGGGCCCGTCCATCCAG